AACAGAAGCTCAGTTTCCTCTAAGAAATGATTCCCCCTTGGCCCATCCCACCTACCTGTCCCATAACCACTAACAAACTGTGCTCTCTGTATACTTGCCTATCCTAGATATTTTATTTAAGTAGGATTCTTGATGGGCACTTCACTTAGCAGCAAATATTGATGCCTAGCTAATCCATTAAAGCAGAACTGTTGACACATAGTAACTTGGGTGCAGGGCAAGGCAATATACCAGGGGACTTCAAGATGTGGAAATAGTCCATTATCTGCTAACCCCATTATCTCCTTGTGTCCTCATATAACAAAGTGGTGGTAGTGTTATGTGCTGTGGAGTCGATTCCAACTCATAGCACCCCTGTAAATGATTTCACGGGCTGTAAATTTTTATGAGAGCAGAAAGCCTCATCTTTCTCCTGCGGAGCGGCTAGTAGATTCAAACTACTGACTTTGTGGTTAGCAGCCCAACTGATAGCACACTATGCTACCAGAGATCCTTTCCTCTAATAGGAGATTTAAAAACAAACCATCAGTATTGTTGAGTTCTCACAAAAGGTTTAGGCTCAAAGAACAGGAGAGGAAGCCGGATGAGACTTTACTGAGAAGAATAAGTAGGAAGTGTGTGTGTTTGAGATGTTGTTCGGTTTTGTTTTGTTTTTATGGTGGAATGTTTGAGTGCACTCAAAGGTCCCCACCTGCAATAGTACCCATATACCTTTCACTTCTCCCAGGGATACATCACAGCAGATTTTAAGAATATGAAACATTATCCATATCATTGAAACCCCCTGAGTTCCTCACCAGTCCCAATCCCTTTTCTCCCTGGAGGTGGCAATCTTGTTCTGCCACCTGAAGGTGGCAGATTATTTATGTTTACTACTTAAGGATGACTGAACAAAACAGTATTGCTTTGTGAGGTGTTATTTCTTTACACTAACGGCATCATCTTGTGCATGGGGTTCTGAAGTTTGTTTTTGAGATTAAACATGCTGCTAAAAGTAGATCTAGTTTATTTGTTTAATACCTTTGCATAATCTTTTATTGACTGCATCAGTCGCCCCTTCTCTTATGGGTAGACAGCCCATCTTGTCCATGCACTCCTTTACATGTTGTTATTCCAACATGTAAAACAAGCTCCTGCCTCAGGGTCTTTGCACTTGACATTCCTTCATTTGTAATGCTCTTGCCCCGTTTCCACATGGCCTACTCCCTCACTTCCTTTTGTCTCTGCTCAAAAGATACCTTATCTGAGCATCCTTCCTGAGAAGCCTGCATCAATTGGCTTTCACCCCATATGGTCACTTCCTCTCCCTTTGTCCTGCTGCATTTGTCTCATGGTACTTACTATACCTGACGTGGACAGTGAGGTATTTGCTGGACACCAGCCTGCCTCTTGTACTCGAATGTGATGCTCCTTTGGCTAGGACCGTGTCCGTATTGCCCACTGCTGTACACATAGTACACTTATCAGTACCTAACATGCAGTAGATGCTCAGTACGTTTTAATGAATGAATAAATGAATGAATGAGTGAACAAAGAAAAAGTGAACACATGAATAAATGTATACCCATTCCTCACATAGCAATATGGTTGGGTTGCAGAGATCAGGTTGTTATGCAGAAATCAGCATTATTTGAAAAAGGAGATGAGCACATCACCTCACCCCCTCACCTGTACTGTGAACATCCCGACGGGCCCTTGCTGAGGTCACCTGCCACTGTTGCCTCCCCCACTTCTCCCTGCTGCCTCAGGAGAGCTCAGTCCCCACTGCTGGCTGCTGGAGAGAGCCACCCAATCTCTCCGAGCCAAGGTGAATCAAATGCTACCCCTTCCCTCATGTCACCTCAGGAGAGCTCAGCCTCCAACACCATTCACAGGAAAGGGTCACCCACTCTCCCAAAGCCAGGGTGGCCCAAGTGCTGCACCCTTCCCCATCCTGAAAATATGGTGACCTCAGCTCATCCCCTCAATGACCCCAAAACAACCTTGGTAGTTTTGTTAGTGGATCGCTGCCTGACGGCAGGAGGATCTGGGTGCTACAGGGAAGGGGTTGCACACTATATGATGGTCCCCCTGCTCATTCCATTGCCTGAGCATCCCTGGCTCTCACTGGATGTCCTGTGTCCCTCTGTCCCCACGCCCCCATGAGAATCTACAGTCCAGAGCTTTCTCAGAGGCTGTGAGTGACTTTGATGACCAGGACCGGCATCTGCCTTTGACTTTACACTGAAGCTGCTCACCCAGGTAACCTGCCCTGCATTCATCTGTGCCCACCCAGGAGGAGGAGGCATGCAGGAATGGAAGCATAAGAGAGTGCTTAGGTGCCCACCAGTGGTAGTGGGGCTCCATTGGCCCCAGGCACTTGAGTGCCCATCTTAGGACACCCTCTGAAAACAGTCCCACCTATGTCTACAACCCCTCAGGGCTGAGAGCTGGGGCCAGACCCCTAGATCATGCTTCCACTCCAGCCCTGAGGGCAACCCACCAGCAGAACTCCAGTGCCTCAGCCTACGATGGAGACCCAGGACTCCTTCCCTGGGCAGCATCCTTTCCCTACTAAACTCACTCTGGCTCATTCTCCCTGCTCTATCTAGAACCCCGGAAGATTGGGGACACCATGCCCTGCTTCCCCTTCTAGACAGTGAAATTCTATGCAATACAAGTTCCCTTTCTATAGCAACATGGGCCCACCAGTCAAGGACCCCATCAGAAACCTCCATTTAAGCTAAGATTTCCTTTGGATAAACATAAAGACAAGCAGAGAGGAGGCAGCATTTGAGGTAATACTCAAACTTACAAAGCTGTAATTATAAAGCACTGTAGTAGTTCATAGTAGTAGCCTTCTGACCAACAGTGACCAGGTTGGTGGACGAGGTGCTGACACACTCTAAGCAGGGAGGTCTGCCTTGTTCATTTTAGAACTGAAGCTTGGGGGCTTGTCTCTTTGTACTGGCAGGGGGTATGGTGGTTAGGGAAGCAGGCTGTTTTTCTGAGGCTACTAACTCAGTTCACAGCAGCTGATGGTCCGCTTGGCCTTTGGGTAAGAAAGCTGGTGGGAAGAAAGCTGGTGGGAGAAGCAATTAGCATGGTAACTTGTTTTGTTGCTTTGTTGATTCTCGCCTGTCTGCTGTTCCCTGGTGCTTTCCTGTGCTCTCTGATTCCAAGTCCCTCAAAGCCCAGCGTCATCTCCTTGTTGTATTTCTTGTTGTATTTGTCGGGGAGGATCAGAATGATGGTTTGTTTATGCCGCCATCTTCCCAGAATCCACTTACTCTTTTGAAAGACCTTTTTGATTTGTTTTCTGCTTCTCTGTTTTTCCTCAGACTCCTACGGACTCAGTCTCTGGAATGGTTTTACAATAATGTGAAGAGTCGTTTCAAACGTTTTGGTAGTGCCAAGGTCCTGAAGAACTTGTACAGGAAACACCGGCTGGAGAGTGGAGCATGCTTCGACATTCTAGGTACTCACACTGCCTATGCTTTGAGGGTCTTTGGTGGGCTGTTGGGGTTGATGTCCTGGCATCAGCATCCTATACAATGGGGTGCACTCACCTAGGACAGAAAAAATGGTTTAACTTCAGAGATGCCAGACTCTCTAGTAAGTTTCAACTCCTTTTGTTCCAACGCCCTGACTTAGTTAGGACAGATAAACCAGGACCTGGAAGGACCAAAGAAGTCTCCACAGCGTATGAACATTTCAATTATGTTACCTAGATTTTAAGGAGCACAGTGGGTAAGCAACTGAAAATCGCAAAGTTAGCAGTTCAAACCCATACAAGAAAGATCTAGTAATCTGCTCCCATAAAGATTACCATCTAGAAAACTCTGTCACAGGGAATCCCTATCAGTCAGAATCAAGTTGATGACACTTAGTAACAACTACCTAGGCCTTAAAGATTACTTATCATCATCCCCTAATGGTTAAAACATAAGAAAATCATCATCATTTGGTTTTGTTCATAGGCTGTGCCCTGTCCACCCCCTCCACTTTCTACCCATTCCAAAATTCTGTTCTTCAGTCCCAGAATTTGATAGAGTGAGAGACTTAGGAAATTATAGTAGTCTTCCTAGAAAGCTTGAAGGATAAATTTTGATCTATGTTCTCTTTAGACAGACAGCCAAGTTAATTAAAATGAGAAATTATAATAAGTCCTAGAAAGATGTAGTTGTCAGAATGTGAACAGAATGTCCTCCAATAAAACCCCACTGCCAGCGAGTCCATTTTGATTCATAACGATTCTATAGGACAGAGCAGAACTGTCCCATGGGGTTTCTGATACTATACATCTTTACAGGAGCAGACAGCCTCCACTTTCTCCTGTGGAGTGGTTTGAACCACTGACCTTTTGGTTAGCATCCCAATGCTTAACCTCCTGTCCCACCAGGTCTCCTTATGGCCCCCGATACTGCAGTTGTTGTTTTCTGTCTAGAAACATCTTTTTTTCATTACTTTGATGACACAGATAAATGCTTTTTGTTTTGTTTTGTTTCTGATACAGTAATTCTGTGTATTCCACCCATATTCTTTTCTTTT